GGTGATTTTGGATCATATTACATCAACTCATCTGAACAAATAAAAATATCAACAAAACTTTAATTTTTAATCAAGGTTCCCTAACAAATAAAATTAATAACACTAACTCAAATTTATGGTGACAGACGATTCATCTGCGGACGAGTCCTGGACCAGAGGTGGAGAAGGTGTTCCTTTACAATGCCAGGAAGGTGGAGGTGTGGTCCAGTGTATGTGTGGACCTGGAGGTGAAACAGGTCGAACATGTGGTCACTGTGGAGGATGAAGAAAATTCTGGAAAGAGCACTAATAACTGTGACAACATGGGCATGTGGTCGTACAAGTCTTCACTGTACAGTTTACCACCTGCTGTAAACCACCTATATGCTGAACATTCCACACTATGGAATGTCTCACTGGAAGCTCTAGGTGGTGACCTCACACTCATATCATGCCATGTTAAGCTGCTACAGATAAACCAGACAGTGGAACAACATACTCTCCGCTTCCACAGTTCTGTTATAGACTCCAATGTACGGTTACATTTGGGGAACCAAGCCAGTCTCTACATATACAACACTACCATTCAGGAATTGCATCCACGAGCCTTGGTTGCTAGTGGAAGTGCATTTGTCCACCTGAGTGGAGGGACAGGGATGAAAACACCACACGACATAGTTGTCCTTCAACCTGGTGCTCTGGTGAATATTAGTGAATACGAGGGTGACGTGAGGTTTGTGGTACAGGAGACTGAAGAAGACTACAGGCTGTCAACACCAAGCATTCACCAAAGATCTTCCTTTTCTGATACTGTAGTGTATATTCTCTTTTCCATAGTGTGTCTGCTGCTGCTTGTGTTAGTGTGCTTATGTGTGCTCTGGAGAAAATATTGTGCAAATTCAGCAGAAGTGAAAAGCAGGACTCTTGACAAATTACAAACCTCCGAGGAACAACCGCTAGTGAGCATCAGCAGCAACACTCCTTCCCAGGCAACACAAGCATCTTCAGCACAGAAATCACCGACTACCTCCACATCCAATAACCAAGCCATACCTAAACTTGATGCAGCTCCAAATGAACAGAAGAAGCAACCTGTTTCTGAAGTTACCAACACTTATTTACCATTTAGGTCAATTATACAAGCAGGTTACACAGCAACAACGGCAGCAACCCACCATTTCTTGACCGGAGGTGAGGAACCACCCACTGATCACAGCAAAACAAAACACCCAACAACTGTTTCACACACTGAAGTTAGAGATACAAAGTAATAAGTGTGTTGTAAAGTACAGGTAATTGTATTGAGGAAGCACTAAACCCACATGGTTCATATAGCACCTGGGGAATGGCAGATAATCATGTTTGATCGAGTAAATGGGTTGATGGCTCTAATTTATTGGATCAAGAGTCCTTTGTTAGCATTTGTTATTGCCTGAATTATTATTATTATAATCAAAAAGAAGCGCTAAGTCACAAGGGCTATACAGCGCTGCAGGGTAGGGAAGGAAGCGAGGGTATTGGGCGGTAGAAGGGGGGAGGGATGATCAGTAGGTTACAGAAAACAGCGGAGCAGGGGATAGTGCGGGGGTAGAGGGCAGCAAGAGATTGAGGTAGAAAGGGCTGAAGGTATCAGAGTTTGTGAAGTAAGTCAGTTGTTGTCAAAAAGTCAATGAGAGAGTCCGGATGAAAGGTGGGTCCATCAGCAAGAAGGGAAGGTAAAGAGAGAGCAGTGGAGCGAAGGCGACGATGGAGGTAACTTCTGCGTGCTCGTTGATAAAGTGTACAGTCTAACAGAATGTGGCTGACTGATAATGGAACCTGACAATTCTCACAGAGGAGCAGGGAGCCTCTCCATGAGATATCCATGAGTAAGACGAGTATGGCCAATGCGAAGACGGGAGAGAGTAGTCTCCCAACCTCGACACTGGTGACAAGAAGACGGCCAGTAACCTATACAGTGGATCCCCGGTATTCGATGGCATCGGTATTCGATAAATCCGGTATTCGATGCATTTTAACGCAAAAATTTTGCCTCGGTATCCGATTGAAAACCTGGTATTTGATACGATTCGTACGCAACGTGTCCACGTGTGGCCTGAACTGCCCCTTGTGTGCCAGTGTTTATAAGCCAGCCAGTGTGTGCGCATCTAAGGATACATTCGGTACATTCCATATTATCCATATTAACACTGTTTTTGGTGCTTGTTTCTGCAAAAAAATAAGTCACCATGGGCCCCAAGAAAGCTTCTAGTGCCAACCCTGTGGTAAAAAGGGTGAGAATTAGTATGGAAATTAAGAAAGATTTTGAAGGGTTTGGGGCTAACCCTGAGAAGCCTATGCTAGTTGTGGAATCCATTGTGCCTACTTCAAAAATTAAGGAAATGTGTGCACAGTGGGTTGAAGTGCAAACCTTTATGGATGAAAATCACCCTAACACAGCTATTGCAAGCCGTGCTGGTGACTATTGCAATGACAATGTTGTGGCCCATTTTAGACAAACCGTAAAGGAACGGGAGGTACAGAGCTCTATGGACAGATTTGTTGTGCGACAGAGGTCCAGTGACTCTCAAGCTGGTCCTAGTGGCATTAAAAGAAGAAGGGAAGTAACCCCGGAAAAGGACTTGCTACCTCAAGTCCTAATGGAAGGGGATTTCCCTTCTAAACACTAACGCCATCCACACTCTCCCCTCCTCCCATCCCATCAATCATCACCAGATCTTCAATAAAGGTAAGTGTCATGTAACTGTGCATGTCTTCTTCAGTTTGTATTAAAATTAATATTTCATGTGGTAAAAAAAATTTTTTTTCATACTTTTGGGTGTCTTGCATGGATTAATTTGATTTCCATTATTTCTTATGGGGAAAATTGATTCGCTTTTCGATATTTCTGGTATTCGATGAGCTCTCAGGAACGGATTAATATCGAATACCGGGGGTCCACTGTACTCGGTTTAATAGATTGAAGTTTGTTACCGAGCAGAGTAGACCAACGTTGTTGCCAACGGGTGTGAAGGTGGGTAGCTATTGCAGCAAAGTAGTCCGTAAATGGAATACCTCTGTAGGAAACTGGTAGGTCATGTACTGCTGACCGCGCAGCAGTGTCTGCCTGTTCATTGCTCTGTACGTCAACATGACCAGGGACCCAACAAAAAACAACATCTTTATGCTTGGTAAAGATGCGGCATAGCCAAAGTTGGATACGGAAGACTAAGGGGTGAGGTGTATCAAATTTCTGTATAGCCTGTAAAGCACTAAGGGAGTCTGAGACAACCACAAATGATGACACAGGCATAGATGCAATATGGATAAGTGCTGCAAGAATGGCATACAATTCAGCAGTAAAAATACTAGCCGAAGATAGTAAATGCCCTCGCACGACGCTGTCCGGAAACACTGCTGCGAATCCTACGCCATCAGAGGACTTAGAGCCATCTGTGTACACTGCAAATGCATGAGAATGAGAGTAGAAGTGGTCAAGAAAAAGAGAGCGGGAAGCCACCGTAGACAGTTGGGCTTTCGAGCAAGGGACAGAGAAAGAACAGACTCGAACAGCTAGAACTTCCTAGGAAGGCAGGGAAAAGTGAGATGCTACATGAACATAGAAAGGTGGTAATTGAAGAGAAGACAAGAGCGAATGTAGGCGAAGAGAGAAGGGATGGAGTAAACAGGGGAGGCGAACAAATAAAGAATGTCTACTAATATCAGTGACCATTCTATAAATGGAAGGATTACGGAGATCATGAGAATGTACATAGTAGCGAAGGCAATGGGCATCACGGCGATCGGATAAGGATGGAATGTTCGCTTCTGCATAGAGGCTCTCAACAGGGGAAGAGCAAAAAGCACCAAGGCATAAACGTAATCCTTGGTGATGAATGGGGTTAAGGCTAGAGAGAGTAGAAGGAGAGGCAGCTGAATAGATCTGGTCACCATAATCAAGTTTCGATAAAATGAGGGTGGAATGTAGGCGAAGGAGAGTTCGATAATCAGCTCCCCATGAAAGATGAGCAAGGGTTTTAAGAAGGTTCAGCCGGCTGTGACAAGTTGCCTTCAGAGAGGTAATGTGAGGTTTCCAGGATAACCTACGGTCAAAGAGGAGGCCCAGAAACCTGACTATCACGTTCAGGGATACGGGTGCCATAGAGGTACAAATGATGATTGGAGATGACAGAGCATCTAGTGAAAATAATTCGGTGAGTTTTGGTACTGGAAAATTGTTATTGCCTGAAACTTTAATTGAACTTTACCAAGAAAAAGAGATGGGTATATAGTACTTGAACTTCACCCAGACTCTAGCAGATCTGCTGAAGACAGTTTCAGGCACAAATGATTACATGTCTTAAATATATAATTCTGCTGTTCCAGCTGTTTCTTCCTTATGTGTGATGTGAATTTTTATTCTAGATAGTTTGTAATAATGAGTGTCAATAAATAAGGATATAGTATTTGCAATGAATATTTTTTTTTATTATCACACTGGCCGATTCCCACCAAGGCAGGGTGGCCCGAAAAAGAAAAACTTTCACCATCATTCACTCCATCACTGTCTTGCCAGAAGGGTGCTTTACACTACAGTTTTAAACTGCAACATTAACACCCCTCCTTCAGAGTGCAGGCACTGTACTTCCCATCTCCAGGACTCAAGTCCGGCCTGCCGGTTTCCCTGAATCCCTTCATAAATGTTACTTTGCTCACACTCCAACAGCACGTCAAGTATTAAAAACCATTTGTCTCCATTCACTCCTATCAAACACACTCACGCATGCCTGCTGGAAGTCCAAGCCCCTCGCACACAAAACCTCCTTTACCCCCTCCCTCCAACCTTTCCTAGGCCGACCCCTACCCCGCCTTCCTTCCACTACAGACTGATACACTCTTGAAGTTATTCTGTTTCGCTCCATTCTCTCCACATGTCCGAACCACCTCAACAACCCTTCCTCAGCCCTCTGGACAACAGTTTTGGTAATCCCGCACCTCCTCCTAACTTCCAAACTACGAATTCTCTGCATTATATTCACACCACACATTGCTCTCAGACATGACATCTCCACTGCCTCCAGCCTTCTCCTCGCTGCAACATTCATCACCCATGCTTCACACCCATATAAGAGCGTTGGTAAAACTATACTCTCATACATTCCCCTCTTTGCCTCCAAGGACAAAGTTCTTTGTCTCCACAATGAATATATTATAATATATTATAATAATGAATATATTATAATAAAAAATAAGTGCTAAGCCCACCAGGATCATACAGTGCTGCAGCGAATATAACCGAACAAATAGTGCATTTTTTCATTTGTAGTAAGCTATACGGGAAAAGGGGTTACTAGCCCATTTCATACCAGTTATCCAGACTGGAGTCCTGGAGGTGGGAAGTACAATGCCTGCACTTTAACCCTTTGACTGTCGCAGGCCCCTTTCTGAAACTGTTATTCTATGTCGTTAAATTTTTGAAAAATAAAAAAATTATTTTTTCTTATGAAATGATAGAGAATCTTTTCCCGATGGTGATGACACCAAAAGTTTGAAATTTGGTTGAAAACTCAAGGAATTACGCTCCCGCGAAGTTAGCGATCTCAGCGACATATGCGTATCGGCGATTTTGCCGACTTTGAGCCCTGTTTTCAGCCAATTCCATTGTTCCAGTTGACCAAACTCATAGCTATTTCTTTAGAACTCCATTTTATCTATCAGCTGAGTACAAGAAACCACCCATTTACCAATTTGAACTACCCAATATAGTGGTAAGAAATTGTCAATTTGGCCAATTTCACGCAAAATAAAAAAGGTGCCAATTTCAAAATAGGGTCCAGAATAAACAAGGTAGACATTCTTGGCACTAAAATAACATATCCTCTGTTCATTAGTCACATCTCTAGGCCCCCTCTTATATTATTATTGCTTTCTATTTTGATTTTTTATTCATACAAAAAAATACAAAATTTACTGTTATGCAGACTACTACATTATTGTAAAAATGGTATAAATAATATCAGTGCACTAGTGAAAGAATATTAGACTCCCCAGTTGACGTGTATTGGACGTGGTGTGATTTGTTTACTCCTGAACATTGTTAAAAATCGAACATTCCCGCTAATTTGAGCTCAGTTTCAAGGTAGTTTTCATCGTCAAAGTAACGAAAATCATCTCTATTTCTGTAATATGTTTTCCATTTTATCACCTAAGACCATGAAAATGCAAATACACCAATAAATACTATACAAAAATACACCTCAAAGTCGGCGCTTTAATCCAAAAAAACGATCAGTTCTTTTTTTTTCTCATTATGCACTGTGTGCTGCAGGATTTTTTTTATGTGGTGCACAGTGACCACACAGACCCATTCTCTCACATGTGGGCCTACCAGCTTTCTCCCGCTTGATTTGAAGCCGCTAGAATTATTGAGTACATACACGTCAGAAACAGTGGTGCGTAAGACGTATTTATACGGCGTAAACAGTCAAAGGGTTAAAGGAGAAGTTTGGGATATTTGCTGTTTAGAGTGACATCTAAACTGTTGTATCAGTGCACCTCTGCAGAGACCGTGATCATGTGAATGATGGTGGAAGTTTTTTTTTGTTTTTTTTTTGGTCACCCTACCTTGGTGGGAAACGTTAAGCGTGTTAAAAAAAAAATTGCATATATCTGCTCTGAAAATCCATGGATATACTGTCTGGAAGTATAATCATGTATACCATCTGGGGTCTTGAACTATGTAGTATACTGCCATAGTTTCAGCATGAATGAGAGTGACTCAAGAAATCGTAATGACACGATTGCAAACAAACCATACCCCCGGCCGGGATTGAACCCGCGGTCATAGAGTCTCAAAACTCCAGCCCGTCGCGTTAGCCACTAGACCAGCTAGCCACAATAAGATTCATCCAACTAGGTATATTTCTACACCATAGGAAGGTTAGCACAGGCACCACTGTGACCACAAATGCAAGTTTTTACAGACGAATCTCCAGCTAGCGTGGCCGTGACGAACTCTAGCTCAAGTCCCTTCACTGCCGTCAACATGACTCAAGAAATCGTAATGACACGATTGCAATATACCTAGTTGGATGAATCTTATTGTGGCTAGCTGGTCTAGTGGCTAACGCGACGGGCTGGAGTTTTGAGACTCTATGACCGCGGGTTCAATCCCGGCCGGGGGTATGGTAAGAATGAGAGTATTCAAGATGGAAAACTCAAGCATTCCATTTGTGAGGAAACAAAATTTATATGGGTCATACAGTACCTGGGAAAATAGAAGATATTCAGGTTTGATCCAAAGGGGGCACAAGTCTAATTCCTTGGATCAAAAAGCCCCTTACTGGCTTCAAGGAACCTCCCTTGAGGGAAGATTTCTTGGAGACCTGGTCAGTGCAGTACAAGGAATTGATAGACTAATTTTGTCACCTCAAAATTCAAGTTCTCCTGACCCAAGGAAGTGAATTTATTCTATCCTTCCTTGGTCCATATACATTTTATACTTCAAAACAAGTGCCATTCCATGAATGAACCTTCATTACCTCTCACTTCCAAGGTGCCCATGTTGTCCAGTGCTTGAAGAAAGTCACATACAACCTCTCCTCACTCAGCGATGTACTCGTTTATCGACAACTCGGACTTATGACAGGCTCTCTGACTAGTGTGCATACCTAAATCATGTATATTAGAGCTAATTTCCTCCTTTCTGTTTATTGCATTATTATTATTAAAATCAAAAAAAGAAGGGATAAGCCACAAGGGCTATACAGCGCTGCAGGGCAGGAAGGAAGCGAGGGTATCAGGTGGTAAAAGGGAGATGGATGAGTAATAGGTTACAGAGAACGTCGGGGAAGTGGATGGTGAAAGGGTAGAGGGAAGCAAGAGATTGAGGTAGAAAGGGCTGAGGGGAGTGCAAAAGGTATCATCATCAGAGTTTGTGGAGTAAATCAGTCGTTGTCAAGAAGTCAATGAAAGAGTCAAGATTAAAGGAGGGTCCATCAGCAAGAAGGGAAGGTAAAGAGAGAGTAGTAGAGTGGAGACGATGTTGGAGGTAAATTCTGCGTGCTCGTTGATAGAGAGGGCAGTATAACAGAATGTGGCTAATCGATACTGGAACTTGACACTGCTCACAGAGAGGAACAGGGTGCCTCTCCATGAGATACCCATGAGTAAGACAAGTGGTCAATGCAAAGGCGGGAGAGAGTAGTCTCCCAACCACGGCACTAATGACAAGAAGACGGCCAGTAACCTATGCTCGGTTTAATAGAATGAAGTTTGTTACAGAGTAAAGTTGACCAATGTTGTTGCCAACGGGTGTGAAGGCGGGTAGCTATTGCGGCAAAATAGCCTAGAAATGGAACACCTCTATATAAAATTGGTAGTTCATGTACTGCTGACCGCGCAGCAGTGTCTGCCTGTTCATTGCCCTGTACGTCAACGTGACCAGGGACCCAACAAAAAACAATATCTTTATGCTTGGTAGAGATACGGCGTAGCCGAAGTTGGATACGGAGAACTAGGGGGTGAGGTTTATCAAATTTCTGTATAGCCTGTAGAGCACTAAGGGAGTCTGAGATAACCACAAATGATGACACAGGCATAGATGCGATACGAATAAGTGCTGCAAGAATGGCATACAATTCAGTAGTAAAAATGCTAGCCGAAGATAGTAAATGCCCTCGCACGACGCTGTCCGGAAACACTGCTGCGAATCCGACGCCATCAGAAGACTTAGAGCCATCTGTGTACACAGCGATGGCATGAGAATGAGAGTGGAAGTGATCAAGAAAGAGAGAGCGGGAAGCCACCATAGGCAGTTGGGCTTTCGAGCAAGGGAGTGAGAAAGAACAGACCCGAACAGCTGGAACTTCCCAGGGTGGTAGGGAAAAGTGAGATGCTACATGAACATATAAAGGAGGTAACTGAAGGGAAGACAAGAGCGAATGTAGGCGAAGAGAGAAGGGACGGAGCAAACAGGGGCAGCGAACAAATAAAGAATGTCTACTAATATCAGTGACCATTCTATAAATGGAAGGATTGTGGAGATCGTGAGAGCGTACATAGTAGCAAAGGCAATGGGTATCACGGCGATCAGACGAGGATGGAACATTCGCTTCTGTATAGAGGCTCTTAACAGGGGAAGAGCGAAAAGCACCAAGGCATAAATGTAATCCTTGGTGATCGATGGGATTAAGGCTAGAGAGAGTAGCAGGAAATGCCGCTGAATAAATCTGGTCACCATAATCGAGTTTCGATAAAATGAGGGTGGAATGTAGGCGAAGCAGAGTTCGACAATCGGCTCCCCAGGAAAGATGAGCAAGGGTTTTAAGAAGGTTCAGCCGGCTGTGACAAGTTGCCTTCAGAGAGGTAATGTGAGGTTTCCAGGATAATCTACAGTCAAAAAGAAGGCCTAGAAACCTGACTGTATCATGTTCAGGGATACGGGAGCCATAGAGGTACAAAGGATGATCGGAGATGACAGAGCATCTAGTGAAATTAATTTGGCGAGTTTTGGTACTGGAAAATTTAAACCCATGCGTGGTGGCCCAATTGGAAATATGGTCGACCGCATCCTGGAGAGGAACTGTAATGAGGCGACAGTCAGTGCCTGCACAAGCAATAGCGAAGTCATCAACATAAGAGTGATGACCAAGTATTGGGTGGAAGAATAGAGGCTAAATCATTTATAGCAAGGAGAAAAAGTGTTGTGCTCAGAACACATCCCTGAGGGACACCTTCAGCTTGGAGGAAGTCCGGAGAGAGCACATTATTGACTCGAACACAGAAATGTCTGTCAGTTAAAAAGTTCTTAAGGAAGGATGGTAGATTGCCTCGGAGACCTAAGGAGTGGGCTTGGGCCAAAATATTATACCTCCAAGTTGTGTCATATGCCTTCTCAAGGTCAAAAAATATGGCAATAACTGAGTGATTATTCGCAAAGGCATTATGAACATATGTATCCAAGCGTAGTAAGGAGTCTATGGTAGATCGACCCTTACGAAAGCCATATTGACTAGTGGAGAGACTGTTGTGAGTCTCTTACAATATACTACAGTACACTACTGTATAATTATAATAAAAAAGAAGCACTAAACCACAAGGGCTATACAGCGCTGCAGGGCAGGGAAGGATGCTGGGATAATGGGTAGCAAGAGGGAAAGGGATGATTATTAGGTTATGGAGTGCAGCAGGGTAGGGGATAGTGCATTATTATTTTTTTTTTTTTTCAACAAGTCGGCCGTCTCCCACCGAGGCAGGGTGACCCAAAAAAGAAAGAATATCCCAAAAGAAAGGGGATAGTGCAGGGGCAGAGGGTAGCAAGAGATTGTGGTAGAAAGGACTGAGGAGAGTGCTAGAGGCATCATCATCAGAGTTTGTGTAGTAAATCAGTTGTCAAAAAGTCAATAAGAGAGTCTGGATTAAAGGCAGATCCATCAGCATGAAGAGAAGGTAGAGAAAGGGCAGCAGAGCGGTGACGACGTTGGAGGTAAATTCCGCGTGCTCGTTGATAGAGTGGCCATTCCAAAAGAATGTGGCTAACAGATATTGGAACCTGACAATTCTCACAGAGGAACAGGGTGCCTCTCCACGAGATGCTCATAAGACAAGTGTGGCCGATGTGAAGATGGGAGAGAGTAGTCTCCCAACCTCAACATTGATGACAAGACGACTGCCAGAATCCCATACGCGGTTTAAAAGAATGAAGTTTGTTATGGAGCAGATCTGACCAATGCTGTTGCCAACTGGTGTGGAGGTGGGTTGCAATTACAGCAAAGTAGTCCGTGAATGGAACAACTCGATATGAAACAGGGAGGTCATGTACCGGACTGCAGCAGTGTCTGCCTGTTCATTGCTCTGTATGTCAACATGACCAGGGACCCAACAAAACACAATATCTTTGTGCTTGGTAGAGATACGGTGTAACCAAAGTTGGATACAAAGAACATGGGGGGGAGGTATATCAAATTTACATAAAGCCTGTAAAGCATTAAAAGAGTCTGAAACGACTGCAAATGGTGACACAGGCATAGATGCAATACGGATAAGTGCTACAAGAATGGCATACAATTCAACGGTAAAAATGCTAGCTGAGGATAATATGTAATGCCCTCGCACGACACTGTCTGGAAACACTGCTGTGAATCCAACGCCACACTACTGTATAAACATATAAAAATATACCAGAAATGTTATAAACAGTGCAATGGTGACATTAAAATATAAAAAATGGTCGACACAAACCCACTACCAATATAGTATTCTCCTCACTTAGTGATGAAGTCGTTTACCGACGTGGTCTTGGGAACAGAACTCTGTCATTAAGTGAGGAGATGCTGTATTTTATAATAATTATGGACAACAAAATGCATGTGAGATTTCAATATATTTATTTCAGCCATACAGATTACAAGAAAACCTTCCCTCATTTTCAGTAATAACCACATTAAAACATCTTCTTGTAGGAACAATACAATATTACACTTAAATCATTATAATTTTATAATCCTTAGGAATACCATAAAATAAAACAATAATATATTTTTGTATTTTAATGTTACTTTGTGATATTACGAACAAATATCAGTTTCTAAACTAATGTATATGACCTATATACATCTAAATGTTTCTAAGGGTGAAATAAAGGAAAACTTAGGAAAATATAATTTATTTTATAATTTACAAATGTACAAAACTATATATATATACTGCATATATATATAATATATATTTATATATGTATATATATATATATATATATATAAAAATGAAAAACTATATTTACAACAATTGAGCTTCCACACCATTCCATACTCGGCTGCTTGGTATAGCTTGTGCTAGCTTCAAACATATTACCATACTCAGCTGCTACGTATAGCTGGTGCTAGCTTCAGTATCACCATACTCGGCTGCTTGGTATAGCTTGTGCTAGCTTCAAACATATTGCCATACTCAGCCGCTTGGTATAGCTGGTGCTAGCTTCAAACATATCGCCATGTTTAGCCACTTGGTATAGCAGGTGCCAGCTGCAAAATCACTATACTCGGCCACTAGGTAGTTGGTTCTAGCTTCAATAACACCATACTTAGCCACTAGGCAGAGCTGGTGATAGCTTCAATCATATCACCATAACATAATAACCGTTATCTATAAATTTCCTAAGCTAAACCTAGACACTGTGTCCATTGTCATCTTGACTACGCTCTTACCACAACGTATTTAGTAAGCTTGACATCTTCACATCGTGGCTTGCCTAAAAATCATAGTCTTACCTGATATTACAAAATAAAAAAAAAAAACGTGAAGTAACATAGGACTAGAGTTTCATCTTTTTATGACGCATTAATGTAAATAACATTCACGTATGTGGAAAAATGGTCAATGTCAACATTTCTGCACAGCCAGAATTAAAACTAACGTGTCAGCCACATTTGTTTACGAATCGAAACACTGATTTAAATTATACTTTCCCCAATACCCAAACAAACATCACCTGAGGTACACATATTTCCACTACAGAGGCTGGCATTTTTTTGTGTGTGTACAGGCACTTTATTCAAAACAGTGGAAACCGGACAGCCCACATTTTATCATCCAATCGTAGCACTCTTAAAAATATATGCCACCAGAGCAGACACAGTACAACTTGAGCATTAACGAGTCTTACTCATGCATATACGTATAAATACAATAATGGCTCAACGTGAGCTGACGTCGATAATTCTCACATATCAGTAAAAGCCTAAAATTGCTTTAACTCGTTAAGGCTGAGTAAATCTATAACAATGCATACATCACAAAGGCCATACCAAAACATGAAAGTAAGAGGTAAATACATGTGTGTAGATGCATTTGCATATAGAGAAGTGGATGATATTTTCTTGTACTGTATACGCTGACTATTACTGCAAAATGTCAAGTAATTAATTTCAGTAGTTGTAACTGAATTTTGTCAAAAATACTTGTATTCCAAAAATTTACGAAGCACAATAATATTTTGATCTTGGAATTGTCTCGCACAACACCTCAATTACTGCAACTGAGCCATCAATCACTAGTACTGTATTCACAACTAAAAAGCACATTATTAAAAATTAACTTAACACTGAATGACAGAATTTACTTCTTTCTCCTCCTTCTTACTGTTATTTTTTAAATAAAAAACTGTTTTGTAAAGTGTATTACCAATGCCATTTGACTCAAAAATGAGAATAAATTTCTCACTTCTATTCGAGCATGCTCTGGCTTAAGACATCTATTTCTTAGACAAAATTTTGAAAACTGATACAAAAATATTGGGAATCTAAATTAGAATGCCCATCTGAGTAAATGAGTTGAATTCATAGTGTACTTTATACCTCAATATACAATGCACTACAATATTTTGCTAGACACCGTTTAGACTTGTATGCTCCACCAGATAAACAGGATACTAAACTTCCTCTAAAATAGACGAGATGTGTAGCGCAATTTTGTCACAATAAATGCAGTACGTACGCAGGCACTCGACAGAGAATGCTTTTAATACCCACATCCTTAGAAGTGTAGCTCACATGATTGTGCACAGACCAGAGAGTTCCACACCTCTGCCTACTGAGGGTTGTTCTATCAATTCAACATCCTTGAAAGATGGCTTCAGATTGTAGTCCACTGTGAATGGTGGAGGCACAAATTCTTCAACTTCTTCCTCAATACTGCTGGAATTAAGTAAACTGTTATCTGAAAAAAAAAAACGAAAAAAGAAAATCAGATAATTTAATTTATCCAGTTTTTGATTAAGTGTAATCCCTGTAGTCTGCTTTGCTATGCCTAATGTACATGCAGTACTCTAAGAAGTGTACATTTTTTGTGTACTCACACAATGTGTATGCATATACATATATACCGAGAGATATGCTGGTGTATGTACTGATGTGTATCTGGGCGTATATACACTAAAAGAGGTGATCTCGGTATATATGCAATACAAGATATCTCTTGGCATATATACACTGTCTAATTCCTAATTTAGGGAGTAAAGAACATTTTTTTTTTTCAACAAGTCGGCCTTCTCCCACCGAGGCAGGGTGATCCAAAAAGAAAATACTTTCATCATCATTCAACACTTTCACCTCACTTTCACTCACACATAATCACTGTTTTTGCAGAGGTGCCCAGAATACAACAGTTTAGAAGTATATATGTATAAAAATACACAAAATATCTCTCCAAACTGCCAATATCCCAAACCCCTCCTTTAGAGTGCTGGCATTGTACTTCCCATTTCCAGGACTCAAGTCCGGTTATATAAAATAACCGGTTTCCCTGAATTCCTTCACTAAATATTACCCTGCTCACACTCCAACAGCTCATCAGGTCCCAAATACCATTTGTCTCCATTCACTCCTATCTAACACGCTCATGCATGCTTGCTGGAAGTCCAAACCCCTTGCCCAAAACACCTCCTTTACCCCCTCCCTCCAACCTTTTCGAGGACGACCCCTACCCCGCCTACCTTCCCCTACAGATTTAAACGCTCTCCATGTCATTCTACTTTGATCCATTCTCTCTATATGACCAAACCACCTCAACAAACCATCTTCAGCCCTCTGACTAATACTTTTATTAACTCCGCACCTTCTCCTAACTTCCACACTCCGAATTTTCTGCATAATATTTACACCACACATTGCCCTTAGACAGGACATCTCCACTGCCTCCAACCGCCTCCTCGCTGCAGCATTTACAACCCAAGCTTCACACCCATATAAGAGTGTTGGTACTACTTATATACTTTCATACATTCCCTTTTTTGCTTCCATAGATAACATTTTTTACCTCCACATATACCTCAATGCACCACTCACCTTTTCTCCTTCATCAATTCTATGATTAACCTCATCCTTCATAAATCCATCTGCTGATACGTCAACTCCCAAATATCTGAAAACATTCACTTCTTCCATACTCCTCTTCCCCAATTTGATATCCAATTAATGTACATGTAAAAATGCAACCTCAATGACCATCGATTGCATTAGGGTCACTCAACCTACTGATAGCTCTAGTGGCAATTAATTATATTTAAAAATTTAGTATTTTACTTTGAGAAATAATAAATCATGGAATTCCTATAACAGACAGTTTACCACCTACTTTAAGAAACAGAAAACTACAGCAATGTGAAATAGAGAAATACATAAATATGATAACTATACATATGTTTAAGTCAGTGGTAAACTCTGGTAAAACACAAACTTTAAGAAAATCCTTCAAGGGATGTGACTTGATGCTGGTGAAAAACTCTTAATTCAAGAGCCAGAGGTACCTTTCCCTTCCTTGGATCAACCCTGATGTCCTCTCAATCCTAAAGTGCTGTATAACCCTTATGGGTTTAGCACCTCCCATGATGATGGTAATACAGTGGTACCTCAGGATACGAACTTAATTCGTCCCAGAAGGCTGTTCGAGTGCTGATACCGAACGAATTTGTTCCCATAAAGAATAATGTAAATTAGATTAATCTGTTTCAGTACCCAATGAATACACTTACAAAAGCACTTACATAAATACACTTACATAATTGTTTGTGTTTTGAGCTGTTTTTATCCCGAGGTACCACTGTATAATCAAACTAAGTGCTAAAACATAAAGGGGTCATATGATGCTTATAGTGGGATGTGCTAAAAGAAGAATTTGCAAAGGTGGACGACTAGTGTGGCATAGGAGTGTGCAAGAAGTAGATTTAGTGGGGGTAGTGGAGAGTAGTAAATGTAAAATATAATCCAAGTTGGTACAATAAGTTAGTTTCTGTTAAGAGGTCGATGAGTGAGTCGGCATCAGTGGTGGGACTTTCAACAAGATCAGGCACAGTACGTGGATTAGGGCAATGGAAATGCCAAAAGTGAATTCTGCACATCAGAGCCAGCTGGTCCAATGGTTAATGCACTGGCCTGTGAGTTTTAAGTTTCATTTGCCATGAGTTCAAACGCCACCTTTTCTGCAATTTGTTTGCAATTGTGTTATTACAATTTCTTGAGTCGTGAATTCTGTATACCTGCTGATAGACAAGACAATCCATTAAGAAAGGGGGGAACTGACTATGTGAAATTCGATTTTTAATAAGCATATATGAATTACATCTCCATGGAAAAGTGGAACAGAATTCTTCCTCTGTAAGTCATGCGTGTCGTAAGAGGCAACTAAAATGCCGGAAGCACGGGGCTAGTAACCCCTTCCCCCGTTGTTATTTATTATTAACATATCGGCCGCCTCCCACCAAGGTAGGGTGGCCTGAAAGAGAAAAACTTTCATCATTCACTCCATCACTGACTTGCCAGAGGTGGTTACACTAGTTAAAAAACTGCAACATTAACCCTTTCAGGGTCGAGAGGCTCTCTCCTAAACTTGTTCTCAGGGTCGAAAATTTTTTGGAAAAAAAAAAATTATTTTTTTTAATGAAGAGATAGAGAATCTTTTCCCGATCATAATGACACCAAAAGTATGAAATTTGATGGAAAACGTACGGAATTATGCTCTCGCGAAGTTAGCAGCCTCGACGATATTTACGCATCGGCGATTTTGCCGACTTTGAGCCCTATTTTTGGCCAATTCCATTGTACTAGTCGACAAAAATCATAACTATTTCGCTAGAACTCCATTTTTTTCTATCGAATGAGTACAAAAAACCACCCATTTACCAATTTCAACTATCCAATACAGTGGTCAGAAAATAGCAATTTTGCCAATTTCCTACAAATTTCAAACGATGCCAATTTCCAAATAGGGTCCAGAATAAACAAGACAGATATTCCTGGCACTAAAATAACATTTCCTCTGTTCATTAGTCATGTCCCCAGGCCCCTCTTACATTTCTTTTGCTTTTCACTTCGAATTTTTATTCTCACAAAAAATAGATGATTTACTGTTAGGAAAACTACTGCATTAGTGTAGAAATGGTATAAATAATATCAGCGCACTTGTGAAGGAATGTTAGACTCAATAGTTGATGTGTATTGGATGCGTGGCATGATTTGTTTACTTTTGAACTTTGGCAAAAATCGAACATTTCTGTTACTTTGAGCTCAATTTCAAGGTACTTTTCATTGTGAAACCAATGAAAATCATCTCAATTTCTGTAATATGTCTTCCATTCTATAAAATGAGACCAGGAAAACTAGAATACAACCATAAATACCATACAAAAATACAGTGCAAAGTCACTGTTTTAAACCAAAAACACGGTCAAAGGTTTTTTCTCATTACGCACTGTGTGCTGCAGGATTTTTTTTATACTGTGCACACTGACCACATAGACCCATTCTTTCATATGTAGGCCTACCAGCTTTCTCTCGCTAGATTTGAAGGCGCTAGAATTTCAACAACTCTGGTGCGTAAGCCATACTAGTACGTCGGAAACCCTGAAAGGGTTAACACCCCTTCTTCAGAGTGCCGGCACTGTACTTCCCATCTCCAGGACTCAAGTCTGGCCTGCCTGTTTCCCTGAATCCCTTCACAAATGTTACCTTGCTCACATTCCAACAGCACGCCAAGTCCTAAAAACCATTTGTCTCCATTCACTCCTATCTAACATGCTCATGCATGCTTGTTGGATGTCCCTTCTCCTGTAAAAATTACCAAATGTAAAAAGGAAAGACTTTTGGGTCATCCTGCTTTGGTGGGATAAAAAAAAAATTGAATTACGGTCTACAAGTACAGTGGACCCCCGGTTAACGATATTTTTTCACTCCAGAAGTATGTTCAGGTGCCAGTACTGACTGAATTTGTTCCCATAAGGAATATTGTGAAGTAGATTAGTCCATTTCAGACCCCCAAACATACACGTACAAACGCACTTACATAAATACACTTACATAATTGGTCGCATTCGGAGGTGATCGTTATGCGGGGGTCCACTGTATACCAGGTTGCTCTGCCTCAGTGGGAGACAGCCAAAGCGTTAAAAAATAAAAAGTACATCTTACCAAGTTTATTCTTCTCATTAACATTTTCATTGTTATTGTTGTTATTGAGGGTTGGCTTGGACATATTAAATTTGATTTTTGTGACCGTGGTGTTTGTGTGAGTTGTGTCTGAGACAGACAGCTCGGTGTTGCCGTCGATGGAACTAGCAATGTCTGTCTCTGCTGCATTTACCAGCATAATTGGCGGCTCCCACTGCAGCTCCTCATTGCTCTGCAAGACAAACAAATTTTCCAATGTACGAGTTACTTTCACTTCATTCGATGTGTGCATTTCTAGCAATGAATAAATTGTAAATTTAAAAATTCACTATAAGATGAAATGCTGTACCAAATATCGTTTGTGGAAATAAAACAAAAATCAGAAGACTTAAACAAAACAAAATACAAATTAAATTTTAAATTAAGCCCTTAAATAATTACAAAGTTTGCAGTTACAGTAAGGGAGACAAAATATTCCAAGAATCCTATACATAAAAGTGTTCCAACAATCCTATACACAAAGTTTCCCAATGATCCTACACATAGAAAATATCCCAACAATCCTATACATACAAAGATCTCAATGCTCCTATACACACAAAGTATTGCAACACTCCTATATGCAGAAGTATCTCAACGATCCTATACTACATAGAAATATCCCATGGATACTATACATAGAAGTATCCCAACAATCCTATACATAAAAGTATTCCAAGGATCCTACATATAGAAGGAACACATTCAGCATACAGACTTACCATCTCTACCATACACTATACATACTATAATCCTGTTAAAGTACTATCCTGTAGTAAACACGCGAGTTTGTGCGTGCATGCGAAAAAAAGATGGAGATAGAGAGGAATAGAGTTGGCAATAACTACTAGTCGTATAGACACAACTTTATACAGTGTATACTGTACCACTGATCTAAGGAGGAAGGGTTAATTTGCCTTGCAACTTTCAATTTATGACAAGTAATAATGCTGTGTAGAGTGATCAGTTTTAGATATTGCTAATTCAGATACATACAGAATTATGCAACAATTGCAATCAAGCAATAAAAGATACAAAATAGACACAGGGGGAGTTGAATGATAGCTCTAGGCCTTTCATGTTGCAATCAATACATCAGGAACTTGCAGCATTGCAGAAATTAATAGCAAGTTCAGGTAGTTTCGTTCAGGGGAACGAAAGTCCTAGAGCTATCATTTAACTCTCCTTGTGGTTATTTTGAATATAGAATTGTATGCTAAATCTCTCTCCTGGCACGGTTAACCCGATAAACACTTCTCTCTCAGCAATGTCAACATAATCTTGCACAACTCAGCTATTTGTCTGACTTTAGACAAAGGACACAGCATGTCACCCAGACATTTACATGCAGATCAGGACTTTTAACATTTATTAAAGGGAACATTTCACCACCAGTGGCTTCTTCGGTGTCTTTTTCCACATCGTGTTGGTCTCACCATATCAATTACTTCTGCATCAGCCAAATTCACTTTATTATGTATTAATATTGGTAGAATTACCGACAACATGTTAAGTATAAGGATACAAATGCAATAAAATGTCACATTAGTTGCATTTGTGTCCTTATACTTTATTTTGCTTGCAGAATATTTTATGCAATCTAAGCTCCAATATTTCCTTTAATACACAAATAAGCCACACATAGGACAGACAAGCTTAGGATGATGTTTCAGTCCCACTTAGACCATTTACAAGTTACACAAGACACGAAGGTGACCTGTAAATGGTCCAAGTCACACCGAAATGTCATCATTAGCTTCTCCCTATGTGTGGGTTATTTGTGTATTGCACAAATAACCCAAACATGGTGGGTTATTTGTGCGTTTGTTTTCTTTACCTTCCTTTAACCCGTAAACGGTCCAAACGTATACAGTGGACCCCCGCATAGCGAACGCCTTGCATAGCGAACAATCCGCATAGCGGACGCTTTGTTCGCTAAAATTTTGCCCCGCATAGTGGACAAAAACCCGCTCAGCGGCCTTCGTCCGAGACGCGTCCAATGTGCGCCCTCAGCCAGCCTCACATGTGCCGCCCGTGCCATTGTTAACCAGCCAGCCTCCGCGGTAACATTCAAGCATACACTCGGAATATTTCGTATTATTACAGTGTTTTCGGTGCTGTTTCTGGAAAATAAGTGACCATGGGCCCCAAGAAAGCTTCTAGTGCCAACCCTACACCTCAAAGGGTAAGAATACCCATTGAAATGAAGAAAGAGATCATTGATAAGTATGAAAGTGGAGTACGTATCACCGACCTGGTCAGGTTGTACAAGAAAACCAAAATCAACCATCTCTTCTATTGTGGGCAAGAAAACGGCAATCAAGGAAGCTGTTGTTGCCAAAGGTTTAACTGTGTTTTCGAAACAAAGATCGCAAGTGATGGAAGATGTTGAGAGACTCTTATTGGTGTGGATAAATGAAAAACAGCTAGCAGGAGATAGCGTCTCTCAAGCGATCATATGTGAAAAGGCTAGGAAGTTGCATGACGATTTAATTAAAAAAATGCCTGCAACTAGTGATGATGTGAGTGAATTTAAGGCCAGCAAAGGTTGGTTTGAGAGATTTAAGAAGCGTAGTGGCATCCATAGTGTGATACGGCATGGTGAGGCTGCCAGTTCGGACCACAAAGCGGCTGAAAAATATGTGCATGAATTCAAGGAGTACATAGAAACTGAAGGACTGGAACCTGAACAAGTGTTTAATTGTGATGAAACAGGCCTGTTCTGGAAGAAAATGCCAAGCAGGACCTACATTAATCAGGAGGAAAAGGCACTCCCAGGACATAAGCCTATGAAAGACAGGCTTACTTTGTTGATGTGTGCCAATGCTAGTGGTGATTGCAAAGTTAAGCCTTTATTAGTGTATCACTCTGAAACTCCCAGACCGTTCAGGCAAAAGAATGTCCTCAAGGATAATTTGTGTGTGCTGTGGAGGGCAAACAGTAAGGCATGGGTCACTAGGGAATTTTTCTATAACTGGTTACACCATGCATTTGCCCCCAATGTGAAAGATTACCTAACTGAAAAGAAATTAGACCTTAAGTGCCTCCTGGTGTTAGACAATGCCCCTGGTCATCCTACAGACGTGGCAGAGCGACTTTATGGGACATGAGCTTCATTAAGGTGAAGTTTTTTGCCTCCTAATACCACTCCTCTCCTGCAGCCCATGGACCAGCAGGTCATTTCCAACTTCAGAAACTGTACACAAAAGCTCTGTTTCAAAAGTGCTTTGAAGTGACCACAGACACTCGATTGACTCTAAAAGAGTTTTGGAAGGATCACTTTAATATCCTCAATTGTGTAAACCTTATAGGTAAGGCTTGGGAGGGAGTGACTAAGAGAACCTTGAACTCTGCTTGGAAGAAACTGTGGCCAGAATGTGTAGACAAAAGGGATTTTGAAGGGTTTGAGGCTAACCCTGAGAGGAGTAGTATACCAGTTGAGGAATCAATTGTGGAATTGGGGAAGTCCTTGGGGTTGGAGGTTAGTGGGGAGGATGTGGAAGAGTTGGTGGAGGAGGACAATGAAGAACTAACCACTGATGAGCTGATAGATCAACTTCAAGAGCAAGAGGCCAGACCTGGGGAAACTGGTTCAAAGGAGGGGAGAGAGAAATTGAAGGAATTGCCTACTTCAAAGATTAAGGAAATGTGTGCAAAATGGCTTGAAGTGCAAACCTTTTTTGATGAAAATCACCCTCACACAGCTATTGCAAGCCGTGCTGGTGACTGTTACAATGACACTGTTGTGAACCACTTTAGACAAATCATAAAGGAACGAGAGGTACAGGCCACTATGGACAGATATGTTGTGCGAAAGAAGTCCAGTGACTCTGAAGCTGGTCCTAGTGGCATTAAAAGAAGAAGGGAAGTAACCCCAGAAAAGGACTTGCTACCTCAAGTCCTAATGGAAGGGGATTCCCCTTCTAAACACTAACACTCTCTCTCCCCTCCTCCCATCCCATCAATCATCACCAGATCTTCAATAAAAGTGTCATGTAATTGTGCATGCCTTTTTCAGTTTGTGTGTACTAAAATTAACATTTTTTTGTGTAAAAAAAATTTTTTTCATACTTTTGGGTGTCTTGCACGGATTAATTTTATTTCCATTATTTCTTATGGGGAAAATTAATTCGCATAGCGAACATTTCGCATAACGGCCAGCCCTCTTGCACGGATTAGTTCGCTATGCGGGGGTCCACTGTATATACGTTTTTTCAACATTTGAAAGTATGTAAAAAAAGTAGATCTTCTTTTTGTTTTTTTACATTTGAAAATGTGTAAAAAACTTTGATCTACTTTTTTTTTGTTACATTTGAAATATGTAAAAAAAACGTAGATCTACTTTTATAGCACTACATATGTGAACGTAGATCTGCTTGGACCGTTTACAGGTTAATATCTGGGCTTTCTATGTCCTCAAGGTGTGATGCACCTTAGTGACAGTATGCATTACAATGAATGATGAACCAAGAATTTTCATCCATGGAATTCTAAATACACACACTACACTGTGACAGGCCCCAGACTGGAGCCCCATACTACCATTATCCTTGACCTCTGATGAGTTTTGAGCCTTTCTACTCCTGGAGCCTGACCATGGGCCAATACTTGATTTTATGAATGTACAATGATACCCCGAGTTTCGGCCATAATTCGTTCCAGAAGGCTGTTCAGGTGCCGTTACCGAACGAATTTGTTCCCATAAGGAATACTGTAAATTGGATTAGTCCGTTTCAGACCCCCAAAAATACACTTACAATAATACACTTACATAACTGTTCGAGTTGGGAGTTGCACGAAACTCGGAGTACCACCGTATACCTACGTGTTTTCAGTTTCAGATCTATGTGAAATGGCAGTCACCAGGTATATATCCCAAAGAAACAATACAGCAAGACAAAATAATATACAATGAGAAACAAAATATTAATAGGGTAAAATTATTGGATATCCCCAATAGAATTTCATTATAAAACTTTTCTTATTACTCTACTTAAAATTGGCCTGAATGAATTCCCATTTTCGGAGCGAAATGTAACATATAGCTCAATAAAACTAAACAAAAATATATGAAGGTACTAGAAAGATTTAAGCCAGAACACTACAGGGAAAAATTTCAAGCACTCAAAACAATACCTTAATGATAAACAATACAATGAGAAGCTAAAGCATTTTAAAAGCTACAATCTAAGTTGAATCACTAATAGGTAATGAAACAACCAGCCCCAAGTTTCTATTACAAACACAAAACACAAGCAAACAATGTAATATGCTTAGAGTTAAGCATGGTGCTCCTCTTAGGCAACATCACAGGTAAAATCCTCAACATTATATATACTAAATCTTCCTTAGCACCCCAGTTATGCAAGACCTAAACACTACCATTTATTAACTGCCATTATCATTTACCTTTTGTTAAGCTATGACCTCCAACATTTCCTACACAAACCCAGCTGAAATTATTATTATTATTATCACACTGGCCGATTCCCACCAAGGCAGGGTGGCCCGAAAAAGAAAAACTTTCACCATCATTCACTCCATCACTGTCTTGCCAGAAGGGTGCTTTACACTACAGTTTTTAAACTGCAACATTAACACCCCTCCTTCAGAGTGCAGGCACTGTACTTCCCATCTCCAGGACTCAAGTCCGGCCTGCCGGTTTCCCTGAATCCCTTCATAAATGTTACTTTGCTCACACTCCAACAGCACGTCAAGTATTAAAAACCATTTGTCTCCATTCACTCCTATCAAACACGCTCACGCATGCCTGCTGGAAGTCCAAGCCCCTCGCACACAAAACCTCCTTTACCCCCTCCCTCCAACCCTTCCTAGGCCGACCCCTACCCCGCCTTCCTTCCACTACAGACTGATACACTCTTGAAGTTATTCTGTTTCGCTCCATTCTCTCTACATGTCCGAACCACCTCAACAACCCTTCCTCAGCCCTCTGGACAACAGTTTTGGTAATCCCGCACCTCCTCCTAACTTCCAAACTACGAATTCTCTGCATTATATTCACACCACACATTAAAGAAGTATCCCTCTACTTATTCTACAATCCCCATCCTGAATGATCAGTAAATACCAATGACTCTACTGTCACAAATGTCCGAGACTAACCAGTCAGTGGCTCATGATACGATATCTTTTCTCAGTCAATAGAGAATAATGCTATAGCGAATGTTAGTGTATTATAAATTCGGATATTATGCCCTCCATCGATAGAAAATACTGCTACAGTGAATGTTAGTGTATTAAAAATTCAGAGATTATGCCCTCCATAAAAATTATAACTGCATATACTCCCAAACCATAATTAATCAAGTGAATGCTAATGGCTTCATTTATTAACCTCGTTGGGCAACATGCTGGAAATGTCTTCGTCCTCGGGTGATCTGGAAATGAGATCATCATCGTCGATGCTATTGGCGGGCTCCTGTTTCACCTCCAGCTTGACCATCATACCCTCTGGGAGAGACTGCTGGAGAACAGGGAAGGATGTACTCAATGGGTTAGCAGTGACAAACACCGCATGGATTTAACATATAGGCAATCAAGGAAGTAAAACAAATAAATTGCTGGGGATCTTTCAAAATAATGAAGCAACAAAATAAACAAATAAGAGACATGAACACTAAATAATCAAGGCAAAATAAGCTGATAAATTTTGTATAAGACAAGACCACAGTAAACAAGTAACCCGCCATCATCTACTACTATTGATTATAAGAGATAATACAATGCAACAAAAATCTGATAAGCAAAATTAAAAGTACAATCTAGTATTTTGAATAAAAACTTGCCAAAATATTTGTACAAGTTGAATACAATGTATCTGTAAACTTTTTGGCCCTTTTTTAAAATGCAGTATAACAAAAAATAATTATTATAAATTTTGTGTCTATTTCTATTGCACACCATAAAAAAAGTGACCCGATATGATCCTCAGAGGCCTACACCACAGTCTTTCAGTCTTACCGATGAAGTTATACAGTCGATGTCGATTTCCTCAATTTCCATCGGTTCTTCTTTAATACGTACAGCAGGCTGGGGCTCTAGAGACATTTCCTCCAGTTTTTCTGTCACTAGAAATATACATAAAATAATTATTAATCATATATAAGCAATTACAGTTTATAAACATGTAATTTTTAGTATACGTAGAGTATCACAAGCTGGTTGTAAATATTCAAAAAATCCCTCCAAAATTCAGGACTGTTTCATCTATTTAAAACATTAAATACATGCTTAAAATTGTACTGTTGTAACACTAAACTATACTAATTGTAATACTGTTACAGTGGACCCCCTCATAACGATTACCTCCGAATGCGACCAATTATGTAAGTGTATTTATGTAAGTGCGTTTGTACGTGTATGTTTGGGGGTCTGAAATGGACTAATCTACTTCACAATATTCCTTATGGGAACAAATTCGGTCAGTACTGGCACCTGAACATACTTCTGGGATGAAATAATATCGTTAACCGGGGGTCCACTGTAACAGTACAGTGGACCCCCGGTTAACGATATTATTTCACCCCAGAAGTATGTTCAGGTGCCAGTACTGACCGAATTTGTTCCCATAAGGAATATTGTGAATTAGATTAGTCCATTTCAGACCCCCAAACATACACATACAAATGCACTTACATAAATACACTTACATAATTGGTCGCATTGGGAGCTGATCGTAAACCGGGGGTCCACTGTATTTGTTTTTTGCTATGTCACTACTATAAATCTTATTAATCATAAAATTTTTGGTTACCTCACTTTAGCAATAAGATAAAATAATGAATAATTAAAATTTACAACTCTATGTCTAGTTGTAAGTAGTGTGTTAGCTGTAGTATTAGTCTGCCAGAAATGCTCTGGCTTGTTGGTGGCTTTCTTTGTACTTAAAGCTTTATAAAACGTAAATCACACACTGAAACCTTAGCAAATAAATAAAATTGTATTGTATACCTTAAGGTGAAACCTGAAACCACTTAGACAATTTATTTTGATTTGGCTTGGAATTGAAATTTGTCAAAATAAGCAATCTCTTACCTGAACCTTGAGAATCCATTGGTACTTCTTCGGTGCTTCCTTCTACATCTTTCTCTGCTGCTTTCTCAGCCTCCTTGTCTTCCTCCTCTCCAGTCTTCTCTGTCATTTTTCCTATTTCATCGTCAGCAGCTTTATCTTCAATATCTTCTTTTTCCTTTTTGTGTACTATCTTCTCTTGTTCTTCCTTTGCCTTTTCTGCAGCCTCTTTCTCTGCTGCCTCAGCCTAAATAAATAAATCATAAATGACGATTTAGCCACATTCACTATGCTTTAAGATATAATTTCATATTCAATGAAATCATATATTCGAAAATGTCTATACTAAAATAATATTGTGATATGTGAAGACACAGACACACACAATTGAGAGTTTAGCTGTATAGCTTCATGTGCACACGTACACGTACAATCGACCAAAGCAACCACATACAGGGGAGTACACACATGTACACGCACGCACTGTTTCACTGACATGTATACTATGCAAGGTAATGGAGAAGATTGTCAGGAGTGTTTTAAAAGTGCATGGAGAGAAATGCTTCATGAACTACCTCCTGCACAGGTTCAGAAATGTTAGTGTCTTACCAACCTTTTGGAATTCTATGACAGAGTAATGAAAGTGAGACAAGAGAGGGTTAAGTGGACTGCTCTTTCTTAGACAGCAAGTAGGCATTTGATACTGTATCCCACATGAGACTAAGACAAAAACTTGAGAAGCAAACAGGAGTAACTGGGAACATACTCCAGAAGATCAAGAAGTACCTAAGGGAAGGGAAATAAAAGTGATTGCCCAGGAAGAGATGTGAGAATGAGGAAGTAACAAGTTGTGTACCACATGGGTCAGTATTAGGACCACAGCGGTTTCTGGTTATGTGAATGACGTATCAGATGAAACTGAATCAGAGAAGGACCTAGGAGTAAGCATAGTGCCTACCATATCACCAGTCCCACATCAGTCAGCCAATGCTTGCCTGGTAAATCTGTTGAGAATCCTGGTCTACAGGAATTTCAATGAAAGGTCATTCAGGGTGCTTTATACAATGTATGTTAGGCCCATCCTGGAGCACTCTATACATAGCTTTAAGAATAGGTACAAAAGAGCCCATGAGCTGAGACTTGACCCCTGCAACCATTTATTGAAGTACTGTACACACACAAACATATATGCCCTAACACACACAAACATATATGCCCTAACACACACAAACATATATGCCCCAACACACACAAACACATATGCCCTAACACACACAAACATATATGCCCCAACACACACAAACACATATGCCCTAACACACACAAACATATATGCCCCAACACACACAAACACATATGCCCTAACACACACAAACATATATGCCCCAACACACACACCCAACATATATTCCCTCCACACACACAGACACAAATACACATGCCCCACACAAACATACACACCCCCTCCCAAACACACACACATACATTCCCACACACTATACACACACATGTACATCCCCTCCCACACACACACCTTCCTGAACTGTGAGCTTACTGGCTAACTGTAAGGCTTCAAGGGGACTGTCCGGCACAACTTAAATTCTTTAAAGTTACTAAATTTCACTCAGAATTTGTGTGTATCAGCACTACTGAGTTAACTTACACACAAAACTGTTTTTATTTTTATGCTGACAGATATGTAATTTATATTTTTACCTCACAAAAAATTTACAGAATACTTTTTATTAACCACATATATTTTGACAAAGCACATATACCTTTGTAAAGCCTCATCTCTAATGTGAGGTTAATGTGTTCATTATATAGGCAACAATAACTTAAAAATCAAGAATGGAAAACAAAGAGCATTTGAAATCTCACTTTTATTATGTAATTATGAAAATATCTTTATTTCAGATAAAATTTAAAAAAATTGTGGCTCTGCTTACTGTTAGTAATCAACAATTATGCCATAAAAGAACTTGCTTGTATACCTTGAAAAGTGAGAAAAAAATTAAGAGACCAGAAACAGCAAAGAGTATCCTATGAAGATGTACAAGCAAACACGCCCAAGTCCTCAGGTACCGCATTTTCCAACACATGATGTGCATGATCATACGAGATATGTAAGACACATTTTCCAACATATGATGTGCACGATCATACGAGATATGTAAGACACATTTTCCAACACATGATGTGCACGATCATACGAGATATGTAAGACACATTTTCCAACATATGATGTGCACGATCATACGAGATATGTAAGACACATTTTCCAACATATGATGTGCACGATCATACGAGATATGTAAGACGATGTTTCCAAGCAGTTGTAACATAACGTCAGTAAACAACTGCTAAAGTGTAACCCAAAGCCTACCCTTTGACCCTGACCTCGAGCATATAAGGCAGAGGTTGATTTTCCAAGACTTTTTGTGGGAAAAAAAAGTGTGCCTCATATGCCAGCAAATATGGTAATTCCATCTGTTAATTTACCACTATGGTATCGTTTCATAACATTATGTACGAGAGAATTGTGCACACCACACACATTCACCATGGTATTTTTTCTTGTATATTTGGAGACACATACCTTACGGTGATTTCTTTGCACATTATTATTTTTTATTAACAAATCGGCCATTTCCCACCTAGGCAGGGTGACCATAAAAAGAAGAAACACTTTCATCATCACTCATTCTATCACATTAACAACAACAAATTAATATATATATAGTGACAATATGGTACAGTACTAAATGATAATGAGTATAATAAAGATGGTTGGTTCTCTCTCAGCTAAGACACTTATTAGTTACCATGTGTTATACAACAATTTTCCAAAGCTTTTTTCTGGCATATTTAACTCGATGTGCTGTTGGAGTGTGAGCAAAGTAACATTTATGAAGGGATTCAGGGAAACCGGCAGGCCGGACTTGAGTCCTGGAGATGGGAAGTACAGTGCCTGCACTCTGAAGGAGGGGTGTTAATGTTGCAGTTTAAAAACTGTAGTGTAAAGCACCCTTCTGGCAAGACAGTGATGGAGTGAATGATGGTGAAAGTTTTTCTTTTTCGGGCCACCCTGCCTTGGTGGGAATCGGCCGGTGTGATAATAAAAAAAAAATAATTTAACTCGAAAGATTATATCCTCATATCCTTCTACATTTTAATGTGAATTCAATCAGTCCTCAATATGGAAGGCTTACAGCTTATGAATTCCAAAATTATGTAACGGGTGGGGTTCAAAACCCACCCGTTCCATGGTTTGGTTGCATTTGTGTTATGATTTCGTGAGTTACGAACTCCAAGTTACAGACATCTGCACTTACAATTTAAAGTTCCATAATTGCTGAGATATAGAAGAAAAATGTATGAAAAATACCATCCTTTGTACTATTGTTGTCTAGAAAAGCAACTCATTTGCAAGTTGGGTGACTTGTTGTATTTATATGAAATATTTACTTCGTGTAAAACAAGAAAAAAAGAAAAATGCCAGTAAAAAACAAACAGAAAAATCTGTGAGCTTCCATGTGCTTGCACACACATCTTCAGAGGAACAGACAGGAGAGGCAAAGTTTATATGTTATTGTGTGAAGCGATGCCTCACTCAGGCGTCACATAAGATAGTGGTATTCATTGTGCAGCTCGCGATGACTCAATTCACGGCTCATGTCTACTTTTTCTCATTTACTATATTGCACCAGCAGCTCAGTACTACTTAATTTAGTTGAGTTACGCTAACTTGCAGTAGCTGCGGCTCTCTCAATCAATGTGTTTAACCGAAGTGGCTCTCTTGCAAAAATTAGTGAATAACACTGACGTAAGTTATCACCTTACTTTTATGATGCCTCACTAAGCGAGGCATCACCTACTGAGGATCATCTCAATTAGTAACAAAATGAGCTTTACTTACCTCTCCTTACTATTCCTCTCAAGGTATATTTACACACATAAGTCTTCATGTTTTCCTGCATATTTTTTCACTATGGTATTTTTTTGCATTTATAGTCAAGTGTTTTATTGTGGTTTCTTCCATGTGTGATAGTAAATAGAAAATATATATGTACAGGTGCTCCTTGACTTATGATGGTTCGACTTATGATATTTCAATTTTTCGATGGTACAAAAGCAATTACAGTAAAACTCCATGTCTGGTCCAAACATACAATTCGGATTTCGACCACTTTTTTCAGCGAAATTTTACTCTGGGTTTCATACATCAACTCGGAAATCGTCTGTATCAGATGCATCCGCCCTCCTGGGACACCGCTGCCTGACTCAGTCTGCCTCTGTCACTTGGTGAGTGAACAATACTCCGTGCGTTCATCCATTTTTTTGGTGCTTGTTTATTGAGTGCGACTGCAAAATAAGCCACCATGGGGCCAAAGAAAGTTCAGAGTGCCAGCCCTTTGGTAAAGAAGGTGAGAAACACGATAGAATTAAAGAAAGAGCTTGTATCAAAATACAAAAGTGGGGTAAGTGTAGCCGAGCTCGCTAGGATGCACGAGAAGTCCAAATCAACAACCAGTTCCATCCTGGCGAAGAAAGTAAAAAACAAGGAAGATGATGTTGCAAAAGGGGTAAATATGCTAACGAAACAGTGATCACAAACAATCGAAGATGTGGAGTTGTTGTTGGTGTGGATCAACGACAAACAGTTACTCACAAAATCGCAATGACACGATTGCAAACAAACCATACCACGGGCGGGGATAGAACCCACAATCAGAGTCTCAAAACTCCAGACCGTCGCATTAGCCACTGGACCAGCTAGCCACAATAAGATTTGTCCAACTAGGTATATTTCTACACCATAGGAAGGTTAGCAAAGGCACCATTGTGACCACAAATGCAAGTTTTTACAGACGAATCTCCAGCTAGCGTGGCCGTGACGAACTCTGGCTCAAGTCCCCTCAAAGCCGTTAACATGACTTGCATTGTGCACTTGCATTTGTGGTCACAGTGGTGCCTATGCTAACCTTCCTATGGTGTAGAAATATACCTAGTTGGACGAATCTTATTGTGGCTAGCTGGGCCAGTGGCTAATGCGACGGTCTGGAGTTTTGAGACTCTCTGATCACGGGTCCTATACCCACCCATGGTATGGTTTGACAAACAGTTAGCGAGAGTGCAGTGACTCTCAAGCTGGTCCTAGTGCCAGTAAAAGACAAAGAAGGGAAGTAACCCCAGATAGTGCTTTGATACCAAAAGTCCTTAAGTAGGGGGATTCCCCTTCCGAAC